CCCCAACAATAACAGCAAACGCTCCATGGCGTGGTACAACTCCATTGCTCTGTATTCAAAGCTAGGCAAAAACATATCGCGAGCCAAGAGTTGTGACCTGTACATACAACCTACGACTCCCCCATAGAGCAAAGCCAAGAACTAACACAATACTATCTGACACATCAACGTAAGAATTTACTCTTCAACCTACCTATCCATAGGTAATTGCTGTAGCAGTTGGATTGTTAAAAAAACCTTTATTGACGACATTTCTGCTCGTATGCTATGTTAGCACCACGTATTAATTTCAATCTAGATTGAATTAAAAAATGGATACATGTAGTTCGCAAACAGAAAAAACGTCCATCTGAATAGTTTTAAACGAAAGAAAGATGGAAATGGCCGTGGTCAATAAGTATTCAGTCGGACTACAACAGCCAGACTCCGCATACAGCGCCCAACGTAACAGTCATATATATACATAAACAACAACATGCCAGTCATAGTTTTACACGACCAGAATTTCCCGCGCCGTGAATACATTTTAATCGATTATCTAATGACACCAAATACAAATAGATGCCTCCATCCGAGAATTAGCTGGCACGCTAACACGGTATCTACCAAACAAGATTTAAATGCAGAACGAAATATATGCGATTTACCCCGCAGCTCTTGTGTCTTTGTCTGTAACACCAATCGACATCTCCCGCAACTGGAACTTCGCACACGGCTGGTCTGCCTCCAATGCCGGACAACTGTGATGTAGTAGTTAGAGTAGCCACAAGCTGCTTGCACGACGACCAATCCTTCACCTTGTGACTGCCGACTATGACTGGATCACGATTTGACCCTCGCACAGTCCGTGACGTGGCAGTCCCGTCGCGCTATGGCCCCACCGAGTCCTGCAAGACGGCGCATGGCTGCAGCGCTCTGCAACCTCGAGACCTTAACTATCCACACCACTCGCCACATTGCCACATCTGACACCCGGGTGCTTGCCACTACCTGGAAATAACGGCAGCATCCGCCGATTACCACACCATCAGAACAACTGGCTTTCAATAACGGAACAAAACCTGCTATTCAAAATACAATGTCTATCAGTAACTCGCGTCTTCATCATGAAAACTAGCAGTTTACACTAGCGCTCGAGCACCACGATCCACGATTTTTGTTTCATTTCACCGTTAAAATGAACGTGAACCGACGAATGTTTGTAAATACTGTATTACCTGATCCTTTCTCCGAGCTTCAACAGTAGGGCAGAATGAAAAACAGAGGTAATCTGAAATGAACAAGATCAACACTACAAAACTTGAAACGGGACCAGAGTAACGTTAATTAAATGAGCCAAATGGATACCAATGGTCATCAATACGCGCCATCAATTGAAGCTCTTGAGTGACATCTCTGTTTGCATTTCGAAAGCATACAATTTGATTCTGCTAAGACGCAAATATTCATTGACTGCCTATTTCTGGTATTTGGCCTCGTCTACCATTTATCAGACTGATAGTGATGTCAATCCGTGTAGCACAATAATCCAAATGGATTGCGTTCTGTAGATCAAAAAGTAGAGCTGCTATAGAGAGGCTGCTTACCAGTGTACGCATAAACTCTTATGCTTCCGTCGCGCTCGTAATCCCCTTTGACTCGAAACAGCCTTCACCCACGCTGATTAAACCCATTGCTCCTGAAAACATAACATGATCATCTCTCTCCGAACAGCAAAATTTTACAAACTACACATTTCACATACACCAAGGTGATATCACTTACAAACAGGAAAACAAATGACAAAATTAATAAGTTCTTTCTTACGCAGGTCTACTATCTTTGTACCATGTTAGACTACATAGCCTTACTAGAGTTTCGTTCCAGCGCATGGCTTTAACAGACCTATACACTACCACGTGTCCACATAATCCAACTGCCCTTTTTTTTTTTTTTTCTGTAAGCCAGTCCGTGGTGGGTATCACATACCCAATACATCAGATCACCCCCCCCCCCCCCCCCCCCCCCCCCCCTCCCCCCGTTTTCCCCCCCCCCCCCCCCCCTTTCCTGCTGCATTTACAACATAACATGAAATATAATAGAAATGAAATATTAAAAAATAAAATTAGTAATGTTTCAAATGTATAGTTCACCTGTCTATTTCATCTGCGTCCGTCGCGTCCATGTATATAAACCCCTAAGTCTCACCTAGCCGACGCAGTGGGAGTATTGCCAGTTTTTTTACATTGTATAAGTGATGCCACTACTAAAATTGACCCGGCCAGTATATAGTTGATGAGATCCATAATAAATTTTTTAGCCACTTGCAGTTGTCTCACTCTCACTACACCTGACCCCACCCTAGTATACATGTAGCGTGACATATCTAAGGCAACATTGCGGCTGAACCATCTCAAAGTTTGGTTTTGTGTGTGGCCTCAACACATGAAGCCCGTAATTCAAGATTGTAGACTAGATGAAATACTCCACGCCTGTTCTCGCTATTATAACCGTGTATGGAAACTCTCTTGGTAAGTCCTCGACAGTATTACCTTTCATAAAACCTCGCTACGCCAATGCTAATCCTGATCATAATGAGCTCTAGTACCTATAGCCCGCTGTACAAGATGCCGCAGGGCTCATACAAACATTCTACTTACGCTTATTCCTACAGGACCCAACTTCATTCAGGTTACTGGTCTCAACCGTCTGTGGTAGGCAACTTCAATTGCCTCTTATCCGGAAGTGAATATGCTCACAGTTATTTCACAGTACCGAAAATCTTAACCTCTAACTATCAGTCGAAATTTGCCTTGCAGCACTTCTTCGAGAACAAAACTCTCAACACGGCCATTTTTTTGTGCCGCTGCCAGCAGCGCCAGTCAGCCGAGTACTGGTCCCTAGCATTATCCATCCAAAGACATGTTCTAAGGCCCTGCGGGCAACTGACGCTGCTATCCACGTATAGAGCCCTTCATGAATAAATGAAGATACTTCTAACCGATTTCCTCTGCAGGCAACTTCCGCTGACATCTCAGTCCACACGCCTCTCCGCTGCTCCATAGTCACCAAACCAGCGGAGCGTGCCTTGCCCTGATGAAAGAACATCTATCAGTAACTATGGTACCAACACATGCGCTAGTCATCTTCCTCTCATGAGTGCAACATGATAAACAAGAGGAATACACATTCACCTCCCGCTACAACCACTTGTAACTTATCATATTTACTACCACATGTCACCTGTACTTCTTCTATTCACTCTATACTGGACAGTTCGTCAAGGAATACCAACGTCCAGCGGACCGGTGAGTGCGCAACAACTCCAGGCACGTAGAGATTTGCATGGAAGATTTTTTATACTAGCCAGTAATCCCTGTTCCAAGAGATCGAAGACTTCTCGTGGCCAGGCGCTCATTCCTAAGTCAACAGCCTACGGCAATAGGCTTTCCGAGCCTGTGTAGGTTGGCCCAACCCGCGAGACCGTTCTCTTCTCAGGTGCATTAACACCGATCTGCTGTCTGACTCAATTCTTTTGCCAGAGCGGACCCAGTGATCATTGCGCTGTTCGGACTTACGTCAATCATTACTGACTCGTAGACGATTCCAGCTTCTGATCGTCTAGAAAGAATCGAACCTGTACACATCTCGTCCGGGTCTCGACTGTGTTGTAGCAAGACGCGTCGTGTCCGCGCACTATGCTGTGTTTGTGAGCGAAGACTGGCAGCGACTGCTGCCTGTCCGGTTGATTTAATTTCCAATAGCCAGTCAGGGACAAACTTGCGTTCCATGTATTTGCATGGCTGGGCTACACAGTAGTCACAAGTACACTGAGAGACGGACTCACGTCAATCTAGACCTTTTTCATTTGTATTTCTTTGAATTACGTGACTGAGTCATGGGTAGTGTCTCTTATTATATTCTACAATTTTCAAAGAAAATTTCAGTTGTTACAATTCAACGATCATAACTAGACCTGAACTAGTAAGGGTCAACCTATCAATTGAAGTATATTTATTATTTTATTTATAACGACGTAAATTCGTAAAAACAAAGATTATCATACTCTGCAGCCCCCCCGCTTCAGAGAACGATATACATGATATATAACAGTGTCGAAATGAAGAAAAAAAAAATGTGGTTGTTCCTGCGGACAACCCAGCACAATCAGTCGTGTCCGCAACAATTCTGGGCTACTCGTTGTCCACAAAAAAAGATCCCAAACTCTCTTCATTGTCAAGCACATAATAAACATCAATCAATTATATGGTCAAAAAAACACCCCAAAAACAGTGCGTGCTACCAGGATTTTTTAACTAGGGTGCCAAAAATCACAAACTGCGCAAAATAGTGATGCTTAATATTGATAATGGCCCCCCGCCTCCCCTCTCACACCCTACAGCTCATCTACCTTCTCTGCATTGTTTTGTGGTGCCATGTGAAAAGGCGACATTTCGTCATGTCTCTGCCTCCCAAGCATATTAATTGTTCAGTGCGGGTCTGGGATCCATAGGGAGGTGGAATAACAACCGCGGCTATGGGGGTCCCCCCCACCGACAATTCTTGACAAGGGTAGATCGCAGGTGATGGTATTGCCCACGTTTGATACCATGTACAGCCTTCATTCTGACACAACCTAAATTCTCTTTTTTGAACTTTCGATCAACATGAATCCCCCACCTGCCATGTTGTTGATTTCTGCCCATTGCGCAGAAACCATCGGAAACATTCAAAATAATAACCTGAATAAAAATATCCCAAAATGTCAGGTGAACTGGCTGGTTGCTGGTTCCAATCGAGTCACCTCTCATACAATTCAGAACAACCTGACATATACCAGTGTCTGGAAATACGCAGCTGGTAACATCGCTTCCCCCACCGCATTAGATTAATGGCGGGCCCAGGCATATACATGCTCCATGGAGAACCCTGAGAAAAACATAAATAAAGTGCGTTTTTGTTCTGTCAACTTGCTTTCCTCGTTGTCCACCGACAACGCTCATGACTGCGAATCCCAGTACCTAGAAGTCTGCATTAACAAATGCTATCCCCTACATGTCTGTTCCCACGAATCCCAGTACCTAGAAGTCTGCATTAACAAATGCTATCCCCTACATGTCTGTTCCCACGAATCCCAGTACCTAGAAGTCTGCATTAACAAATGCTATCCCCTACATGTCTGTTCCCACGAATCCCAGTACCTAGAAGTCTGCATTAACAAATGCTATCCCCTACATGTCTGTTCCCACGAATCCCAGTACCTAGAAGGCTGCATTAACAAATGCTATCTCCTACATATCTGTTCCCACAAATCCCAGTACCTACAAGCCTGTATCCATAAGGCTGTTCTTGTTAGTTCTACTCAGAAATACCAGTATATAGACGTCTGTAATTGCGAGCCTACGTGCCTGCTATGGACCTTTGCGAATCACATATCCGTACATTTGAGTCGCTCCAAATACCAATACATGTACCTATGCTTGTGCTAGCCGCGGAGGAGTTAGTAAATGTGATAGGAGCTGAGTCTGCGTGGTTACGGTTGCTGACAGGAATTTCTATTGCTGGGAGGTGTGCGTGATGACGCCAACGCCACAACAGGCATGTCATTGCAGGCCAACTTCCCTCTCCCAAAGTTATTCACTTTCTGTGTGTTATCGCCTGTCGACTTACGTTATTTAATTTTTCCCACTACAAATAGCAGTGTGTTGATTGTGTTGTTGTACTACATTGGTGGTCGAGTATGGTTTTTTCGAAATTTGAAGTGGTGTCAGTGTTTGGTCGCGGGTGAGGTACCACAACCGCTTACTGCGGTGCATCATTGTTTACAGTCCTCATGTCGCCTTAGTGTCTGTCTCATCGCTGCCCTGTTCCTGCCTCATCTTGTCTCACCTCGGGAGGAGAGCGCGCATGGTTGGCATGGCAACCGAACGGACGGAATCTGCGTGGAGACGTTAAACGAGGCGCATTTCAAAGAAGTTTGTTGTCACTGAAACTTTGATGTTCACTGTAACTTCTTATAATTAATGGTTTCGTAGTAGTAAAAACCTCACTTGTGTTCAAGCCTGCGAGAAAAAAGATCGAGGCGTGAGTGTCAGTGGTGCGTGGCTTGATGGTGTAAAATTGATGGTAGCCCGTGCCGATCGCGCATGCAGAGGCTGCTCAAGGCTGGTCGCGCGTGCAGAGGCTGGTCAAGGCTGGTCGCGCGTGCAGAGGCTGGTCAAGGCTGGTCGCGCGTGCAGAGGCTGGTCAAGGCTGGTCGCGCGTGCAGAGGCTGGTCAATGCTGGTCGCGCGTGCAGAGGCTGGTCAAGGCTGGTCGCGCGTGCAGAGGCTGGTCATTGCTGGTCGCGCGTGCAGAGGCTGGTCAAGGCTGTCCGCGCGTGCAGAGGCTGGTCAAGGCTGTCCGCGCGTGCAGTGGCTGGTCAAGGCTGTTCGCACGTGCAGAGGCTGGTCAAGGCTGGTCGCGCGTGCAGAGGCTGGTCAAGGCTGTTCGCGCGTGCAGAGGCTGTCGGGCTGTCCGCGAGCGTGCAGAGGCTGATGAAGCTGTCCGGCATGCGCGGGTCAAAGCTGGTCGGCCGTGCGTGTGTGAGAAATGTAAGCAGAAGTTGGTATGTTGTAGGATGCTGGCTGCTTGCCCTTCTTCACTCGGATCTGTCTCTACTAGTGGCATGGTAATGGTACGAGAACATTCTAACTTGACAATTTATTCAGGGAACGTATAATTAAGTATTCAGGTGTAATTGACCGTCGTGTTTGTTGTGTGATTGATGTTGATATCGGTGACGATCATAAGAATAGTCATTTTACATTTTCATCTACGTTTATGTATAATTTAATTCTAACGTTATGATGTAGATTTCAAAGTCATATCTGTGGCAGTGATCAGCTAAGGAATACATCTCGCTCATGTTATTTGCCACAGCAATGTTTCGATCTTTGTGTTTTTCAGACTCGCAGCAAATGCAAACAAATGGTGGCGTACATGCGCTAGCTGCTAATGCTTAGTTATCGGAGTGGAAAGTGATGAGAGATGAAACAGGTTCGGACTCAGAATCCAATTGAAGAAATGGTTAAGAGAAATTTAGAAAGTGCATTATATTTTTAATTGCACTCGTGAAACGTTTGGTGATATTATAAGATGACGGCAAACATGTAGTAGAGCAGCATAACGGATTCCTGAAATTTGATGTAAATTTTATCTATTGTTGTGTGAGTGAGTATGGCCGTACTTTTTGATACTAATCGGGAAGTTATGATTGTTTTACTGGATGTAGAAAAAATAGTACACAGTTGTGTTTGATGGCCATAGTGGTCTTTGTCATGATTTAAGAATATTGGCTGCGCCGGCCGGCTTTTTGCCGTGAGTCTTGCACTACATAGTTTTTTTAGTTGTGTTAGATTAACGCGTCCTCTGTCCGTTGAAGTTAAACGAAGATTCTGGTTATTTTGAGACAATGGATAGCAGTATGGTCGTGATGTGTTTGCTTTAGAGCTTGCGTAGGAGGTATGTTATGTGCGTGGGGTGCGTGATTCCGGTAAGAACTACCGTAACGTACAACCATTAAATCGTAGCTGCTAGGGCCCTTAAGCGGTGCAGGTTGCGGCGCTCATAGGGTCAATGTCGGGACAGGGGTTACTGGACGTCCCTGGTGACTATCTGACTATGGTTAGGCGAGTAGGCGTAGGCCGACTCCTAGACTCGTTAGTGGAGTAGGCGCGGCTTAGTCCGGCATTTAGATAGGGGCCGCGGTACGTTGCGGGATACCCGCGCATACCGCAAGCCCAGGGTAACGGTTCGGCAGATACCGATGGGCGGAGGATATTGACCGCTCTCAGTACCGTGCCCGCTGCCGGATATAGCAGAGCGTTAGAATTTAGTTGGGGATTAAAGTTAAGAATTATTCAGGTTTGGGGATCGGAGGCATGGTATTCCATCATGCTAATACGCGATTCTGTATAGGCGCAAAAGTACGTTAGGCGTTACTAGAGTTAGTCGCGAGCATTCGTATAGAATATCCGTATAGCGCCTGCGGCAACTTCAGTGGGGCTATAGTCTTATAGGCTACTGCTTATCCCGAAAGTTACTGAGACGTCGGTCGTATGCTTTTGACAATCCAGAACTAGTCCCCGAACGCTGGAAGCTGTCAAAGAACGTTGGGAACATCATTAATTCATTGGTTCGCGGGTTAAGTGCACATTACTAGTGCAGGTATGGAGTTAATATTTTAGTATTGTTTCCGCGATGTAATATCAGTGCGTCGACAATAGAGCGTTAGTCCGGTTGATTCCCCGAGGACAACCGAATTGTTGTGGCGGACAACCTAGCAGTCATGAGCGTTGTCGGTGGACAACGAGGAAAGCAAGTTGACAGAACAAAAACGCACTTTATTTATGTTTTTCTCAGGGTTCTCCATGGAGCATGTATATGCCTGGGCCCGCCATTAATCTAATGCGGTGGGGGAAGCGATGTTACCAGCTGCGTATTTCCAGACACTGGTATATGTCAGGTTGTTCTGAATTGTATGAGAGGTGACTCGATTGGAACCAGCAACCAGCCAGTTCACCTGACATTTTGGGATATTTTTATTCAGGTTATTATTTTGAATGTTTCCGATGGTTTCTGCGCAATGGGCAGAAATCAACAACATGGCAGGTGGGGGATTCATGTTGATCGAAAGTTCAAAAAAGAGAATTTAGGTTGTGTCAGAATGAAGGCTGTACATGGTATCAAACGTGGGCAATACCATCACCTGCGATCTACCCTTGTCAAGAATTGTCGGTGGGGGGGACCCCCATAGCCGCGGTTGTTATTCCACCTCCCTATGGATCCCAGACCCGCACTGAACAATTAATATGCTTGGGAGGCAGAGACATGACGAAATGTCGCCTTTTCACATGGCACCACAAAACAATGCAGAGAAGGTAGATGAGCTGTAGGGTGTGAGAGGGGAGGCGGGGGGCCATTATCAATATTAAGCATCACTATTTTGCGCAGTTTGTGATTTTTGGCACCCTAGTTAAAAAATCCTGGTAGCACGCACTGTTTTTGGGGTGTTTTTTTGACCATATAATTGATTGATGTTTATTATGTGCTTGACAATGAAGAGAGTTTGGGATCTTTTTTTGTGGACAACGAGTAGCCCAGAATTGTTGCGGACACGACTGATTGTGCTGGGTTGTCCGCAGGAACAACCACATTTTTTTTTTCTTCATTTCGACACTGTCTAGTATATATATGTATATCGTTATCTGAAGCGGCGAGGAGCTTGCAAGCTTATGATAATCTTTTTTTACCAATTTACCGTCGTTAAATAAATAAAATAAATAAATATATTAAATTGATGTTAACACTTACAGTCAACTCTAGTTAGATCTTAATTTGTAACAACTAAATTTTCTTAAAATTGTAAATATAATAAGGAAACACGTACCCACTGACTCAGTCACGTAATTCAAAAGAAATACAAATACAAAGGTCTAATTGAGCGTGAAAGTCGGTCTCTACAGTGTACTTTTGTACTACTGTGTAGCCCACCATACCACCAATACAGGAACGCAAGTTTGTCAACTGACTGGCCCTATTCTGGAAAATAATCAACGGACAGGCAGCAGTCGACATCCCATCCTTCCTCACCAAAAGCACCAGCATATGCCGCGGCACACACCGGCTTGCATACAACAACATCAGAACCCGGACAGATGTGTACAGGTTCAGATTCTTTCCTAGAACAATCAGAAGCTGGCATCTGCTACCGGAGTCACTAATATTCACTAGTCCAACAGCACAGCAATTCACTGGGTCCCTCTGGCAAAACATTGAGTCAGACAGCATCGTTGTTATGCCACCTCGAGGAAGCGAAACGCATCTCCGGTTGGGCAACTACAACAGCTCGCAACAGCCTATTGCCGTAGGCTAGTTGCACTTAGTAATGAGCGCTTGGCCCAGAGAAGTCTCGATCTCTGGAACACATTACTGCCTATTTAAAAAATATTCCATGCAAATCTCTCACGTGCACCTGGAGTTTTTGCGCACTCCCTGGACGTTTATTCCTTACGAACTGTCCAGTATAGAAGTAGAAGTAGAAGAAGTACAGAGTCGACATGTGGCTATAAATATATAAATTTACAAGTACGTTCGTGCGTGAGTAGAATGTGTATTACCCTCTTCTTTATCATTGCACATCATGAGAGAAGAAGATAACTGCCAATGCTGTTGGATACCATAGTTACATAATAGATGTTCTTTCATCAGGGCAAGGCACGCCTCCGATGTTTGGTGACTATGAGGCACAGAGGCATTGGATGGAGATTACACAGAATCTGCCTGCAGAGGAATGGTAGAGTATATTCAATTTATTCATGATCAGCTCTAGTACTATAGCCCACGTACAGTTGCCGCAGGGCTATAGAACATTCTATTATGAATGCTAGGGACCAACTCGCTGACTGGCGCTGCTGCAGCGCCACCAAAAATGGCCGTTTGAAGTTTGTTCACAAGAAATACTGCAAGCAGACCATTTCAACGATAGTTAGAGGTTAAATTTTAGTAGCTGATATAACTTAAGACATATTCACTTCGGATAAGAGGCATTAATTGCCTACCACAGACGTTGTACAGCCGCGAGTAACCGTGAATAAGTTGGTCCTTAGAATACGTAATAGAATGTTTTATAGCCCTGCGGCATCTGTACACGGGCTATAGTACTAGAGCTAATTCATGATCAGAAATTAGCATTGCAAAGCAGTATTTATAAGGAAATACTTCGAGCTTACTCAAAAAGAATTTCCATACACTTATCAAATAGCAGAACCAAGGCGTTGGGAGTATTTCACTCTAGTCCTACCAATCTTGAATACTGCTCTTCATTGTGAGGCCCACACACAACCAAACCCAAACTTGAGATGGTTCAGCAGGCAATTTGCCTAGATATGTCACCTACATGTACTACTAGGGTGGGAGTCAGTGCAGATGAGATGATACAACTGGCAATGCCTAAAACATTTATTAATGATCTCATCAACATATACTGCCGGGTCAATATTTTATAGTGGCATCAACTTATACCAGATCCAACCATTAAAAAAAAACATGCCAATACTCCCTTGCGTCGGCTAGGTGACACTTAGGGGTTTCATATACATGGACGGACGGACAGACAGATAAATAGACATGAAACTATACATTTGAAACATTACTAATTTTATTTTTATAAATTTTAATTTCTATTCTATTTTCATGTTTATAGGTTTGTAAATAGCAGCAGGAATGATCTGATGTATTGGGGTATTGATTACCCACCACTGACTGCTTACCACAGTTGGATATGTGGACACATGTATGTATAGGTACTGGTTAAAGCCATGAGGCTGAACGAAAACATCTAGCTAAGCATATGTAGTCTAACATGGACAAAATGATAGTAGACCCTCGTAAGAAAGAACTTATTAATTTTGTCAATTTGTTTTCCTGTTTGATAATGATCTCACCCTTGTTGTATGTAAATGTGCATTTGTAAAAATTTTGCTGTTCGAGGACGAGAATTTATCATGTTATGTTTCAGAGCAAAGTGGTTTAATCCAGCGTGGGTAAAGCTGTTTCAGTCAAGGGGATACGAGAGCAACGAACATAAGACGTTTATGCGATACACTGGTAAGCACACTCTATATAGCAGACCTCACCTTTTAGATCCTACAAGAAAGCAATCAATTTGATTATTGTGCCACAGGTTACGTCACACATCTGATAAAATGGTAGACGTAAGCCAAATACCAGAAAATAGGCAGTAATGACATATCTAGCGTCTATACAATATCAATTGTTATGCTTTCAAATCAAACAGAGATGCACTCAGAACCTTCAATTGATGGCCGTATTGATGAGCATTGTTATCCATTGCTCATTACAATTAACCATACCTCTGTGGTTCCCATTTCAGTTGTCATCGTTGATCTTTTCATTTACATTCCTGCTGTTTTGTCATTCTGCCACTACTGTCTGAAGCTACGCGGAGAAAGAGACAAGGTAATCACAGTATTTACAAACATTAGTCGCTTCACGCCTTCAACTTTTTAACGGTGAAATGAAACAAAAATCGTGGACGTGGATGATCGAGCTAGGTAAACTGCTATTGTCAATGATGAAGACAGCCGAGTTACTATAACGACATTGTATTTGAATAGCAGGTTTTTTCCCCGTTATTGCAACCACAAGTTTGCTGATGGTGGTGTAACGCGGATGCTGTTAATTTCCAGGGTAGTGGCAAGCAGCCCACGTGTCCAGATGTGGACAATGGTGGCAGCAGTGTGGTGGGTAGTAAGGGTCATGAGGTTGCAGAGCTGCTGAGCCATGCGCCGTCTTGCCAGGACACTGACTGCCACGTCACCGGCTGTGCGAAGGTAAAATCCGTGATCCAGTCATGTCGGCAGCACAAGGTGAAAAAGGATTGTCCGTCGTGCAAGCAGCTTGTGGCTCTCTACTACATACATGCCATGCAGTGTCGCCATCTGGAGGCAGACAGCGTGTGCGAAGTTCCGTGTTGCGCGGAGATCCGATTGCGTGTTCGACAGCAGCAAAGACACAAGAGCATGCGGCAGGTAACATCGCATATATTCTCCATTCTGCGATAATCTCTGTTCGGTAGAATACCGTGCTAGCGCTGCCAGCTAATCTCATCGGATGGAGGCACCTTCTTTATTATCGCTGTCATTAGATAATCCGATTTCACAAATGTATTCACGGAAAATTCTGGTCGTGTAAAACTATGACTGCATGAATGTGTTTATGTATATATATAGACTTTACGTTGCAGGCTGTCATTGCCGGAGTCATGCTGTTGTATCCAGGACTGATACTTATTGACCACGGCCATTTCCAGTATCCTTCGTTTAAACCTATTAGATGGACTTTTTTCTGTTTCAACTACATGTAATCCATTTTTAATTCAAACTCTATTGAACTTAATACCTGGTGCTAACATAGCATACAGCACAAATTCACAAAATAAAAGCTTTTTTTAACATCACATGCTCACAGCAATACTTATGATAGCTAGTTGAAGAGTAAATTCCTTACCTTTGTGTCAGATATAATTGTGTTAGTCTTGGCTTTGCTCTATGGGGAGTCGTAGGTTTATGTACAGGTCACAACCTACTTGGCTCCATAATGTTTTGCCTAGCTTTGAACTACAAGCAGATGGAATTGTACCACGCCATGCCGTTCTTCTGTTACTTGTTGGGGAGTTGTTGGCACACAAAGACTGAAAACAGGTAGCAGACAGATCACATTATATGCATTTACATATATGTAGATGTGGACACTTGTACATACATTTTAATGTACACATATACAGTGCTAAAACATATATTTATATACTTTATTTCAGGGTGTTCAAGCTCTTGAAACTCGCTGCTGTTGTCATAGCAACATTTGTAGCCTGTTGGGCACCATTTCTTCGTGAGCAGGAGATGGTCCTGCATGTTCTTAGTAGAATTTTTCCTGTTGCAAGAGGACTGTTTGAGGTGTGTACATATGTGTGCTGTAAGTGGCAAGCGTTTTGAATAATGCCTCAGTTATTATCACGGGCCTTGTGAAAAATTCGTCCTGTAATTGTTTTATAGGTTTCACATTTAATACGTTCAAAACGACGGCACTGTTCAGTATTTTATAAAAATCGATCTTCATGTGATCAGTAACGTGTGAAGTGTAACCCGGTCTTAAATCTATATATTTATTTACATTTCAAGGATAAGGTTAGCAATGTGTGGTGTGCCCTCTCGATTGTGATTAAACTGAAACAGCTGCCAGTAGAGACCATGGTCAGAATAAGGTGAGGGTTTTGCTGTGACATTCAGTAACAAAAAATGTTAGTATAACTTTGCTACCTGATCATACTTCTTAGGACTGTAAGGGAAGATAGTTAGATATTACTTTGACATGCATGGCTTTCATGTGTTATCGACTCTTTATATTAATTTATAGGAGTGACAGTGTTTTGTAGCAATTGGATACAAACATTGAAAAAGATTTTGATGTTATGAAAGGTTTGTTTGACTTTGCAGTCTTATAGCAACGTGTATGGGTCTGCTTCCCTCATCAGCAAACCTGCTGTGGAAACCTTCTTTGCATAAATTTAAATATGCACTGGTAGGTGATGACTGCATTCGATTTTGCTAGAATTTACATTTGATAGAACTGGAGTATTAGTAAATTTTTCTTCTTAGTTGTCTGGTTATATTGTTATTATATGAATACATTAAACTTTAATTTCTAGCAGACTACATAGATTGGTGTTGATGAGGTATATCCATCGCCAGGCATGAAATGATGAGTTTTTATTGTTAACATGATAAAACCATATTCTTTTTTATGTTCAATGATATGATGTCCAAATATTGTTAACTGAGGACTGTAGTATCCTATTAGGACCTGCCAATCATCTGTTTTCATGTTTTTTTAAAATTTTTCTATGATTTGCTTTAGGTGAATTCTTCATTAGTCTTCTTTCTATTCTCATTCCAAGTTCATGAGAAGAGCATACTCTTAGCAGCACTGTAAGTCATTTACTGTTATATAAGCCGCGTTCACACGAGACCTCGTATTTATGAAATACGGTATTTGCGAAATACCGAATCTGAGACAAATACGCGGCGGAGCGTTCACACACTGATTCGCGGCTCCAGAAATGCCGTATTTGCGAGCTGCGAGCTGCTTTAGTAACAATCAAGCAAACAATGCGAAATAAACAATGCAATGCGCACCAACTGCCGAGAAAATACGTAGACTGGTCCGCGCTCGACAGTTCCACTCGCGTTAAACTGGAACTGTCGAGCGCAGACCAGTCTATAAAATACGCGGCTTCAGAAATACGGTATTTAGCGTTCACACGAGGAAATGCGCGGTGCAAGAGATCCGGTATTTCTCAAGCACGGCAAATTATTTTGGGTCTGGGAAGCCGCGTATTTCAACAAATACCGGATCTGTTTAGATATCGTATTTCTTGGACCGCGCATTTTGTCTCGTGTGAACGCTAAATACCGAATTTCGTGCTACGTGTGAACGCGGCTAATATTCTAGTTTCATTAACTTGTCATTGTTTTTGATCGGAGATCTTTATTTGAAAACGTTCTCATGAAATTTGTCTCATTGAAATTTGCATCTTAGATAGTGATCTAAAGGTGTATACTCAATATCTGCATAGCTAAATGCTTGAATGTTACAAAGGTTATTAATTACAGTGCTAGCATATTGACAACACGGACAACTTTCATCTGTTGATGTATGATGTATATAATATAAGCTGATTTCTACTGATATACCTACATATTTCCTTCAGGCCTGTCATGCTTATTCTACCTGAGAAACCGCTAGCAGCTTCTTGGTTTCTGTTAATATCTACATTCAGGTATGTCATGTAACATAAACAGTTCACTTAGCTTACAATCTATTCGTTGTAGCTTGCGTCAGTTCTAGATAATGATGAGAACTTTATGTTGCTGTCCGTAGCTATAACGAATATTAGACCCATCAACTCTGGGGTACAATATAAGTACTACACAATATTGTATTGTATTGTAATACATACGATATAGTATTGGTTGTGCTCACATTCTCAGCAGTGTTAAGAGTATTTAATCACAATTAAGTGATACCCAGTTTTTGAGTGATGTGCAGTCAATGAGTTATTGCTTAGGATATTAAGTATTGATATAAGCAGGTGCCCACCATGTGGCCTTCTTGTCCTATGTATCTACTTCTAGTATTGGTTTTAGCAGGTCGTGGTGTGTGCATTTGACTAAGGAGTTCAATTTCCTTTTACGTTTGTTTGTTTTCTAGTATGTATCCACTGCTGGTGAAGGATGGATTGCTCCTTCAGTTCTTCGCTACTGTTCTCTTGTTCGGCTTGGCTGTGTTTGCTGTGTTCTTCTCTGAGCATGCAGACCCACATCCCCAGAGGGCGCCGCTGACCACCTCACGAATGCAGAGGTTGCTGACTTACGATGGTGTCCTTCTCAAGATTGCTGTGAGTTTAACTTCCACAATTTGATGGAGAATATTTCTTCCCTTTTGAATTTATCAAGAGCGTATAAAGAAGGAGAGCGTACAACGGTGAAATGCTGAAACCTTGTTGCAGTATTAGTCGAATTAATAAACTTTCTCCGTTTTATTTTGACGAGTATTATTAATCAGCTGTCCTACCTTGTTAATATAAAACAAACTGCATGTCCCTACGATGCCCCTACGCTGAGATAATGAGCGGTGAAAATCTGGTATTTTTGCCGAAAACCGACTCCAGATCAGTCAGTACTGCGATTGTCTTTCGTTTTGAGATAACTTCGGGAAACCTCGCGTGTTTCCGTCATTCATTGACAAATCAGATGAATCATTGAATGAAAACTTGTTTGTAGCGCAAGGAACTTTGGGTAGACCATACCATACATCGCCATAACTGTTTTCTTTGTGTTCATCTGCGTCGACTGCGACTACAATTTACAAATTTCCTGTATAACGTGTGAAGTCAGTTCAATGGCAGAACATTCAGTTCCACGAGCTATTTCAAAAATTGGACTACCTTGCCAGAGTGCTGGACCTAGAAAGAAACTCTTTCCTGTAGCAAGTACTAGCACTGCCACCGAAAAAGAAATGCCTAGACTTACCCCATATTGCTTGAACACTTATGTCATATAGCTTTTTTAATGTGGGGAAAGTTGTTTTCAAAAAGTGTTTACATGTTAGGGTTGCTTTATATCATGCATGTTATTATGTATGAAGCACAAGCATTGATCTATGAAAATTTTAACTTTTTAATGGGGAAAAAAGTAATTCAAAGTTGTTTCCTAAAATTAACAATAGAGTTCATTCAGTGTTCATAGTAAATATTTTTCATTTAATGTATATACATTGGGGTGGATGAGATATTTGGATGATTTGTTGTGAATGGCATAGTACATGGTTATGAACAAAAGATGAATGATTTAATCGAATAATAAGGTTGGGAGAAACCCCATAAATGAATTTATATAGATAAACTGCAAAATGCAGTTTGGGAAAAAAATCTCATATAGTTTTCTGGATCATAACAGATAATAGGTTGTGTACTACCAAATAATTGTACTCACATAGTAGCATCTTACCTACAAATTGACGGGAGATTGGACCATGTAATCTCTTGTGCGTAAAGCCGTCAGATTTGGTTTCGGTGCACGAATAACTCAGAACCGGTTTGACCACATGTTTTGAATTGATGTGAATTTATTACTAGTATCGCGCCATAAGTGGAACGTCCTATTTTTGAGCAACGGCCAGTCACGTAACTTCGAGCCACGGAAGGGGTTTGGAAAAAATGGAATTTGCC